GACTACGATCGTCGAAAAGAACGTTATAGAAAGCCTCAACGTTATCTGAACCAAACCTAGAAGGACCCCCTAGGAGCTCCCACACTGCATAGTTGCCCACCATTTTCGTCTTCGTTCACTTTCTGTCTGACAATAACCCTTAATCACTTGGTGTTATGGCGACCGGATCTACATGAGCACTTTCGTGCAGAGAAAGGAATGAGCACCCTAACAAAGGTGCCTTCACCACATGGCCCGAAACGCTGACAAATGGGCTTTGGCGCGAAAACCCACCCACCGACAAGTCCTCAGCAAGCACAAGCAATAAAACTGAAACCATCAGATGAAACTTTGTGCATCACAAGTGGCGCTAGTGATACAATTAGGATCAAAACCAAGATCAAATCCCATACGGGTCATGCAAGCCTTCCAGCACGCCAGACCAGGCTTGGTCACTTGTGTCTAAGTTCCAGGAAGACCGTACTGCCTCCAACGCCGCTATTTTTATTCCAAGCTCCACAAAAGAACAACAACAATGACCCACCGTCTCTGGACATGCCAACCATGATGCATTTCTTCAGACGGCAGTACTGACAACGATTTCGATTGTTTCGAACGATTAGACATTCTTGACTTCGTGTGCATGGGCGATATTGGATTTTCTGTTGGATGGAACGACGGAAAAAGCCCTGCAAACAAAAGCCATCCTTTCACAAGCTAAAGCTCACTTTCGTTACAAACGAGATAATATATTTCAAAAGAGATGTTTCGCAAAAAAATACAAGGATATTATTTGAACTAGGGGTAGACATAAAGAAGAAAGAAGCTGCCACTAGCCCAATTTTTGAACTCGATTGTGGGAATGATTGTGAGAATGCTGTGATGGCCGTAGTGCAAACCCCCTGGCCACCGGACACAAAGGGTACATTTTGGAAGCAGATCGAATTTGTTGCGGAACGCCTGTTGTATGAGTACCCCGTATCTTTTCCATATTTTTCAAAAATGAATCATCATTAATCTATCAACAATTTTATCAGTGATGACACGTATGGTTTCCCGGCTCTGAAAATGAGTGCAAACAGTTCAGGAGCATTGAAAAATGTCAAATAAATCAGATAAAACTATGCTCTTTCGTGCAAAATCGCCACATGGTGGTGCACGCAGTATGCAATGCGTTGAGAAATTTCCTCTTGGGTATCCTAGACCTTTTCTTGGCAATTTTTTCCAGCATGTTTTGCCAAATTCTTTCCAGCATTGTTTTAGGGCGGAAGTGGTGTAGTGGCAAGTGGCACGCACGCGAGCGGTCCGGGGATCAAATCCTGGGTCGTGAGTCGCCCGGGCCAACCAAGCCTTCCATCCCTCCGGGGTCGGTTAATTGGTACCAGACTTGTCTGGGAGGATAAAAACACTGACTTGTACATCGGCTGGCCCCCGCAAGTCATTGTATAGGCCACATCGCATTCAAACGCCACTACGAATGTACAAATGGAAGTAGAATGCGTGCCGCATCCCAAAAGGGATTGATCAACGGCAAATGCTTTATCCTTTTCCAAACAAAACAGCTTTGCAATTTTTCTTTTATTCTAAAATTTGGTAAGTGAAAAAGGCACGCTTCTCGAAGAAATGGGTCTCAGCCAATACCTTTGAAGTGGGCCACGCATTCAACATACAATCATAATCACTTATGCACTTGAGTGCGCGTTAAAAATGAAGCACGAGCATTTATTTCTTCTCAACCAATTTAGTACCACGTAAGCGACAGATACATCGAGAACTATTCTTTCTTTACCTGAAACCTCGCTTGGGGGTATGGAGTTAAACTCCGTCACACTGTTCGCCTTACCCGGATCTCTTCACTAAGACTCATTTGATCGAAAAACACCTCTTTTTAAGGTCACATTAACGAAATGGAGGGAATTTCACTCAGAAATGATCCAACCGCTCTAGCCGATGGGCTCAACGGTCCATTTGGTGCCGACTTCCAAAACTTTTTATGACAGCGGGGGGGGGTCTCGGAACGACCCTTCACTCCCTCCCTCTTCCGCCCCCAACGACCATGATCTTCCATATGTAGTATTCGACTTTGAGACCACTCGACACCCATGAACTCCGTAACCCTTCAATTAAAAAATGGCCGCAAAT